AGTTTTAAGAAAAAAACAAAAAATGTATTGCATGCGTGTATACCCTTCGCATGCTCCGTTTGCGACCAATTGGAGGAGAACGGAACGTGCAGATGGGGCTAAGAATGAAGCCATTAGCGCAAGGCTCCGGGTGCATACCGCGTTGAAAAAGGTAATCGGAGCAAGCAGCAAGTGGCGAGCGGCCAAGAGGATAAACGGGTCATTGGAGAAACGCATTGGCATATCAACAAACGGGTAAAGATGAAAGTGGGAGAAAGGGCATTTCGCCAAAAACGAGTAAGGCGATGTATAGTGGGGAGAACTGTGCCGAAAGGGGGACGCTCGTGACCTTCGACAGGGGTATAAAAGAATGAACAAAATTTAGCTAAACGGAGGGTAACTTAAAAGAAGCAGGCGCTGCTGAACGAAACTCTGTAACGGCGAATTTTCACTACATACTCTAACGCAACGCTCGCAGGAGGTGTTTACTCCTTTGTGTGCGTACCTCCACCCTCAACATGTACACGTGCGCACGCACGTACGTACGGACAGATGGACGTATTCATGTATGCACAGTGAGCATACGTAGTGGTAGCATCGCACTCTCCCCAAATAGGCGTATCAGCCCATAACTGAGGAAAACAAGTTATTAAAGATTTATAGCTCCCGAAGGGAGAAGGTAGAACATGAAGCGCATCGCCGTGGAAACGGTCTCTCCTTTTTACATAGTGGATTTTCTCTCTGATTATCCTTTCCATCGTCCTTTTGTCCTTATCAATATACTGTGCAAACATTTGTGAGGGAAGAAAATGAAATTATAAAGTCCCTTGGTTTCCCCATCCTCAATTTAGCGAAACGGCGTGCCTTCTCAATGGCGGGAATTTTTTTAACGAAAGGGAAACTTTTTTTTTTTTCTTTTCACATTTCTTTTCCTTATGTTACAAGGGTAAATGTGGAGATGTGGATCCGTCGGGCTATCCCAAATTCTGCTTTTCCTCTTTTTCTTTTTTGTCCCACTTTGAAATAACCCCCTGTGTAAGACGACTAATTCGTAGCATTGTAGCGTGCATATGTGTCCATTTGGTATAGACAAACCATACGCACGTTTCATTTTTTTTTTCTTTTTCTGAATGAGCGGAGGCGACAAGAAAAACGGCAGTTCTGTAGGTACATATTCAAACCTGCGTAAATCAAACGAGAAGGCGTAGGGGTGTTTACGAAACAGTTTTCCATCAACGGTGTGGCGACTTAAAAAGGGGACATCCACAATGGATTTTATATCATTCTATATGAAGAAGAAATACCAGGTTGGTATCTACTTCAAAGGAGGGACACTAAATGGGCTTAGCAAGGAATAATTTTTTTTCTCTCTCTTTCTTTTTATTCCTTACTCTTTCCCGCATCGATCTATGTTACGGGTTAATGAAAAATACATGGCTTCCTATGCCGATTTGTCTTAATTTATCCGCGCTCACAAAAAAGTGGCGAGTAGGAATATTTTTTCACCCCAAGGGGAAGTGCAAAAGGAAAAAAAAAAAAAAAAACACCAAATTGTACAGCGGAGAAATTATTGTATAGAATTATTTATCGGGGAATGAGCATATGGTGGCTCATTCCGCCGTTATTCCTTTTTTAGGTTTATCACCCCACGCTGGGTGAGCCATTCGTCATTTTGCCGCATCCCGTTCCACATAATCGTAAATGTGAGCAATTGCGTAAATTAGGGGTAATATCAAAATCGTCATTTGGATATGCCTCACCAAGTTGGCATTTGTGGGTGGTGTCCAATTCGCCTGAACGGTTCAAGCAAACACATGGAGAGGAAAAAAAAAAGAAGAAAAAAAAAATGGCTCCACATTTTAGCTAGCTGAATAAACAAATGATCGCTGCTTGGCAGACCAAACTGATAGAAGTGTGTGTAGAACAACACAGCAATGTGCATCGTCCAAATCTGGACAATGAACGTGCGGAACGATTTAGGAAAGACACATGATGCGAACTTTAAACGAATCACTAGAAAGCTCGTTCACACTGTTTATAAGAAATAAAAAAAATGAAAGGATACGAAAATGTGCCATTTAAACTTGAAGGGGATGCTCCACCCAGATAAAAGATGTATGCTAATTTTGAAGCACAATGTTTTTTTTTTTTATTTTTTTTTACGTTCCTTCCCCCTGCTACGTCTGCTTCCATTACTTCACCTCATGCGTTATGTCCCTCACGGGCGGATGTTTCCCCCTTTGGGCACCATTCGAACTGGTGGATGCATCTGAAGAGCTGAGTTTTCCCCCGGGGGGGGACGCAAACATATGGATCAGAAGGGACGGACCAGGCGCACATATAGGCGCACATATAGGCGCACATATAGGCGCACATATAGGGGCACATATAGGGGCACACATAGGGGCACACATAGGAACACACATAGGAACACACATAGGGACAAACCCACGGAACCAGACATCTAACCATGCAATCATTCATCTGACGAACTTACTCGGACGCATCCTCCACCAGACTGGGTGTGAAGTACCTTGAGCTGCATTCATAACGTCTCAAATTTTCGCCCAACAAACTGCCATAGATCAAGTGCGGAAAAATTACGTCCGACGGTTTCCTCATGGTTTCTTCCTCCCATCGAGGGAAGCCATTATCCTTCCTACCCGTGACGGAAGAGCATATAATTTCTTCGACATATTCACCTAAGTAGTAGTTTATGTCATTTTCAAAGGTGTTAAAGACATCTTTATACTTACTTGTCTTGTGTTCTTCTCCTCCCCCCTGTCTGGCACGACGTAGCACATCTTTGATTGAATACTCATCGCATGAAAAATTGTCTACCCACGTTGGAAAGTCGGAAATGACGTTTTGTTTCTGCCTCCTTTGACGCTTTACACTTGTTTTCTTTATCTCCTTAAACGATTTTAGTAGTTTCTCTTCGACATCCATTTTGGCTCACCAGCTTAGAGATGGCCCTAAAAATGGGGTGTAAAATTTTGCACACACACTTGGTAACAGCGGAGGGTGAGATGGACATGCCGCATCAACGATCCCCTACACCATTCATCAATTAAAAGGAAGGGAGCTCACATAGAAACGCCTCTGTCGAGAAAATGATATGACACCTTGAGGTTAATTTTCTGTACGACCGCGTCACCGCATGCCCGTATACCCATATATACTCGTCTACGAAACGATCGAAATAGCCAACTGGGGGGGAGGGTTAAAAGAATGAGCAGAAACGACAGAGGGGGAAAAAATTTCATAGGGCGAAAAATTGCAAACAATTATCTTTCCCCGGGGGGATAAAAAAGTGAGAAAAGAAAAAAAAAAAACCTCAAGGCGTTGTAAACCATCCCACTTTTTCAATTGAAGGGATTCAAAATGTTCATGGGGTAAGAAAAAAAAAAAAGAACTCACCGAAATGGTAAAATGGGTAATAGATTTCGAAAGGGCATTAAAACGCATACTAAACTGAATGGAGAAAATTAAAAGACATACTAAACTGAATGGAAAAAATTAAAACGCATACTAAACTGAATGGAAAAAATTAAAACGCATACTACACTGAATGGAGAAAATTAAAACGCATACTACACTGAATGGAGAAAATTAAGACTCAAATTTGAATTGTACAAACATGAATGGTGTGTTCAATTTACAGCATTTTCTTCCCCTTTGGAAGAGAGCTGTTTATTCAAAGCTCGCTCACGCTGGCCCTTCCACATGCGCGCTTCTGCTCATCTTTGCGTAGTATGTAGACAAGAGGCACCCGCACTGGGACGGAGTCAACTCAGGAATCCTCGTTGAACGCCGCGATGTTAAACTTCCTCGTCTTTTCGTAACCTCTCACGATACTAATTCCGCACATTATCTACAAAAGGGAAGGAGAAAGAATGCAGTTGTGTAGGCATATCAACAGGAGAGCCCCCCCAAAGGAGCTGTGGCGACGTGAATGGCAACGTTAATAAAGCAGTAAACTATATGCACATCGCCGCCATTCCCCTCCTCTTCTAAAACATGCAGGCCGAACCTCTGTCACGTGAACCACCACGGCCAAGTCAGGGGTACCCAAATTAACAGAATAGTTGCTTCCTATGCATTTGTCGAGCACGGTCAGAACGTCTTTTTTCATCAGAGTCTTCGTGTTAGAGCATTTGTAGATCAGGGCCCAGGAAACCTTCTTTCCCGCGGTGTGTTTGTTCTCACTTGGCGTTGTCTCTTCCTTAGCGTGGATCTCCTTCGTCTGGTCTTCCTTCGTCTTATCTTCCTTCGTCTGATCTTCCTTCGTCTGGTCTTCCTTCGTCTTATCTTCCTTCGTCTGATCTTCCTTCGTCTGGTCTTCCTTCTTCTCACCCTGGTCCTTTTCACCTTCCTCCTTCTCACCTTCCCCCTTTTCACCCTCCTCCGCCGAGACGTTCATCATCTTGGATAAATGGCCAACGGTGAAACTCTCCTGCACGCACGTCCCGTCAGGAAAGTTTTTCTTCACAAGTGGCAGAATGGCCTTTATGAAGGGAGACAAGTGTGGCTTGCAGATGCAGTCTAGTGGAATAATTTTACAGAGGTGTCGGAGAATATACTTTTCCTTCCTGTTGTGAGCTAAGATGAAGATTTTCTGGACAATGTCCGATGGGTTCTTCTCACTTATGTTATTAAATTTTATGAAGGTGAAATTTTTTACTATATTTCGAAGCGGGGCAAAGCGGTTGTACTCCATATTTTCCTTCTCAATTTCGTCATTAAGTTGTTTTTCCATGCGGCCTGGCTGTCCTTCTGGTTCCGCTTGCTCCCCGTTCAGTTTGTCCTCCTTCTGCGACTGCTCCTCCTTCTGCTGCTTCACCGGCGCTTCACCTGCCTCACTGGGAAAGTGGACCTTCAGGAAATTCAAAAATTCCTTTATGCCTACGGTCATTCGCTTGGGGCTCAGCGTCGAGATCAGGATCCCCTTGCAGTCTGCGTTCACGTTTATCTTCTGCCTCTGCGCGGGGGTGGGAAATGAAGCGGAGGAAGTGGAAACGCGGAAGTGACCGGGTGAACGCGGAAAAGTCTGCGCATCAGATTTCTCCCTCCCCAGAGTTATGCCCCACCAGGGAGACGCTCTCGGAATAACCACCCAGCCCCCCCACTTAGGACTGCGACGTAATTATGCACTCGGGGGGGGCGACGAGGGCACGTCCTATTACCTTAGCCTGGTGTCTGCTCCCTTCAAAGAGGTACTGGTTGGTCCTCTTCGTTTTTTTATACTCCATGGTGAATTCGCAGAGGAGGGATAAGAGAAGGAACCCGGTCAGAAATTTTATTTTGCAAAGATGGTCAACCTGTTGACTTCTCACCTGATCGGCCTGATGACTTGGACGGTGCGTGGCGTCCTCTACAGTCAGTCCGCACAGCCGCCGACACGGGTATATAATACACGAGTATAGTACACTCCCTTGCTAATCGCTGCACCTGTAATTGCGACGAAGAAGCAATTTCCACAAAAAAGGAGAAAACTGCTTCGGCCTATTGAACGAATGGGAATTTCCCAAGCAGAGCAGCCAGAGTAGCCTGATCCACTGTGCGCTCGAATGGGGGGACGGATGGAAGGACAGATGGAGGAACCGCTGGATGGACGGACTCAAGGGTTATCCTTCCCCCACTTCAAAATGACGTCATTACCCACGTATGGCAAAATTGTAAGTCACTCAAATGGTAATATTGTACTCCTAACTAGCCAAAAAAAAAAAAAAGAATTACACGAAATGGGAAAAATATATATGTATATATGCATATACATTTCTATGCAAACTGGTCGCAGGTATGTATTATTATAGTTGCTACTCTCCGGTGGAGTAAAAGAAAAAACAAGTGTCACTATTTTGTGGGTCACATGAGGGGAGGTTAAAATTGAAGTGAGAAAAAAAAAAAAAATGACTTCATTATTTGACAAGAAATATACGCAAATGAGTAGTAAACAAATGTAGAGAGCATTTGTACGTGTAGGGATTTGGTGGCGCTCTTTTATTCTTCCTGCCCCACGTCATATATATCATAGGTCGTGCAAGAACGCGCCACTCGCTTGGCTTCACGCTGCAACAGCTGGAAGAGGAGAGCGCCGGGATGGCTTTGCTGAAACAACATCCCCCAACGCAACAAAATTTGAAAGCAAAAGTGAAAGCACTCTCCCCGATATTGTTGCACGTTCAGCTCAACGGCATGAAAAGGCTGAACAGGGACTTTATTGCCACAATTTTATTTTAATATGAGTAACCATATTTGGAGATATTTTTCCCCCCCTCGCGCAATACTCCAACGGGGGAGCATTTTCCATCCGCACCTGTGCGGAAAAAAGGAGGGCGGCGGGGAACCTCCTATTCTGTGATGGTGTAACTTTCCCATAATTTCCCTTAACGTACAAACGTGAGGAACCAAAACGGAGTTTTATTATGTCTCCCTCGGGAATCTTTTCTTGAAGTGAACAACTGCTCTCTCGCAACATTCGGTGTCCCCCTTTTTGGACATCTTTCCCCCTTGAGCAGTAAATTCCGCCACCGCCCTCCAAGGGGACATCCATTTGATAAAACTGCTTCCCTTTTTTACCCCCCTGAACGAGGCCTAAAAAGAACTCATTCGAGTCGGCATTATACAGATCGACAAACGTGAAAATACGCTCACCGCTAACGAAAGGAAGGACGCGGAAAAGCCACACGTGATTGTTGTCGATAGCTCCACATGTGTGAAAAAAAAAAAAAAAATGTGGACGGGCATATCCATTTTGACAGCCACCACGAGGGGGTACACTGTTACTGAAGCGAAGGCGCTTGAGCGAGGATAAATACACATTACAGCGCTGCACTTGGATAATACCAAAGTAGAGAGATTTTCCCCCATGGACTCTCCAAAATGAACAGGCATGTTGTGCGCCTACTCGTCGACGGAAAACTGATCGAGAAAAAAAACATCGACACGCAAATAATCCAGCGCAACTTAGAGCATGTCATCCTACATTTTGATCAGTACAGTCAAGAAACGGGCATCTCTGCATTGCTCAAAAAAATCATTCCCTATACAAAAAATACTTCCCTGGGGAGTGTCCCCTTGAAATATTTATATTCCCATGTTGTTGAGCCGCTACTAAACGAGGGAAACATCGACCCAGAATGCTTACCAAATCTTGTTCATACATTTAAAAGAGGTGAAGACTGTAACGACGTGGTGAAAAAATTGAATGATTACATCACCTGTTCCATTCGGCGTGGAAAAATATCTCTGCAGAATGACGCACACAACTGGGTCAGTGTTGTGCAGGTATTTTCTGCTAAATGGAGATGCATCAATTTTATGCCCCTGCTGAGGCACCTTCTGGTGAAGGGCACCTTTGCACAGTCGTGCGGCGGTGGTACACACCACACTGAGATGAGTGAACCCCGCAACGTGGAAGCACCTATCCCAAATGAAATACAAATTCAACACAGCGAACTCGATCACTGCGAAGCGTTCCATCCCATTTCTTCCCATCATCTGCGCTACGCAACGTTGGAAAGCCTCCCCCCCAGGACTTTCTGCACACTGCTGAACGTGCTGTCTAAAGTTAAAATGCAGAACAGACCAGATCCCATCTTCACATCCTTTCTCCGTGAAAAAACGATCCAAATGCTTCCCTACATGAGCAACATAGACTTGTGCCAGCTCGCTGAAGCCCTACCACAACTGCTATGTGTGGATAGGGAAATTGTTTCCACACTGATAGAACCTGAAGTGCTCAAAAGGGTAACCTCCTTTGACGTTTTGCAGTTGTCCATGATCTTTCATTCTCTCTCCAAATATTGGAAGGACTTAAAAAAGAAACAACTTTTCTCCGTACTCTTCATGCGGAAGATAAAAAAATATTTGGAACTATATTCATTACGCAGTCAGGAGGAGAAATATATCCTGCACAGTCCGAACAAGAATACGCTGATCGAAATAGTGCCCATGTTTTTTTTGGCTTATGTGAAGAACACACACTACATCTTCCCGTACTATTCTTCCTTTTCCAATTTCGTCCTTCTGCAGTTTTCGATTTTGTCCAAGTGGCTGCATCGCTCTCCTCTCTTTGAAGGAAATTACCAAAGTGGGATACCAAATCAGCAGGTGGAGCGACTCTCCCTGAATAGGTATCACCACCCGCAGTTAGCAGACAACGGAGGAAGCCATTCTCCTCCTTACTTACGCCACACCAACCAAACGTTATCCAATTTGCTGTACGCTTTTATTGGCTACCTTTACAACATTAGCACACTGCAGTACAAGGGGGAACAAAGCAGATCATTCACCAGGCACCTCCATTTAACACTGGACAACATTTATCAGCTCCTCTCCCACTTCATCCTTTTTTATCATCACAGGGAAGTGGTCACAAATGGGACGCAGTTCATTCTGCCAGTGCACAAATCCCAGCTTCTAATCTTTTTGTACACCTACTGGGGTTTCCTACTCGATTTGCACTCCCGCGTGGATTATTCCACAAGGGTGAAAAAAAAAAACAATGTAGCCTTAACCGTTCAGGCAAAACGGCACGAAAAAGAAAATACCAGGCTCACCGCTGACTCATTCTTTTTCATCAAATTGGAGAACGTGAAGAAGCTAAGTTTTCTCCTTGAACTTTTGGACGACATTAACCTAAACGCCTTGATGAAAGAAACCTTACATCAAAAGAACAAATACGTCAGTCATATTTATTCACAGATACTCAATGTGGCTAACAACTCGGTAGGAGTTCACCACCGGGCAGCTCTACACTTCAGCAGACGAGTGGTGGGGCCATACACAACTTCTGAACTGTGCAGGTGAAAAGTGGTAAAAAAAGAAAAAAAAAAAAAAAAAAAGCGCAACCATAAAGTGACCAAGCAAATTGGCTAGCTCCCCATATATGAATAACCTGCTAACCTCAAAAGTGACATTTGTCAAATCTGTCCTTCTTCAGAAACATTAAGATGTGCATAGCTCCCCTTGTGATGCGCAAATATGTCACCTTTACTGTGTCTGCTCCATTTGTATGCCACTTATTTGATAAATTTGTTTACCATTTCATAGCTTTAACTTTTTTCAAAGGGGTATACTATACCATACTCCACGTGGTCGGCTTCTTCCGTGCTGTCAGTAACTCCTCCATTTTTTTATTCTTGCTCCCAACTCAAGGAATGCTGCTGCACACTTGGCCACGTGAATTCATGTTTCTATTGGCCTGCCCCCAACGCAAACGTCACCACTTGGTGAGGAACATCAATGTGGACGTCTCACGTTGTTCCTTCTCTCCGGACTACTATGCCAATGGTCCACATCCGCGAAAAGAAGTGATATAAAGGAGAAGACACATAAAATAGACGTCCTCACCTTTTGCCTCAAAACGGTGTACTTATTTTTTCTTTTCACCCATTCTGCCCATCACACAGAACTGAAATAAGGAGCGTATACTTCTATTCACCTTGTGTCCGTCCTGTTCACATGCCGACAAGCGGGGCATGTCCCTCTCCGCAGGGAATACAAAAACAGAGCAACGCGTTCATTTAAGGGGGAAGTAGCACCAGGGAGGAGGAGAAAGAAAATAAATGCCACGTCAAAGCGGCTGAATAAATGGCACAGCTTTTTTTTTTAAAAATAAACTATCCTAGCAACTTCATTCTCCTTCATTGGAAAAAGTTGCAATCCTTGGGATTCTCCTTCGCGCAAAGCTTACGACAAGTCGGGTGTTTCGCAAAAATGAGAAAGGAAAGATCAGAGAATTTTTGAATTGCAGAGTGGCAAAAGACACGCATATTAATTACACCCCAAATGATGCTCCACGAATGCAGGGTGCCAAACGAAATAGCGCCTGGTCGCTCCCAACCCACGCAATGCCGCCCTGGCGCAACTTCCGGCCATACCCTCGTGAGGAGATCTACTGACATAAAACGCAAGGCAAAAAGTCGGGGCCCCACCAAATGCGGAAAAAAAAAGAAAAAAAAAAAACCAATGCTTTGCGACGTTAGTTAATGCGCAACTCACTGGAGATGCAGTCTCCGCAACACGCAAAGGAAAAAAGTGCCAAAACGGTCAGCAGTGTAAGTGAACAGCGCGGAATGGAAGCGAACGATTTGGCGGATAGGAAACAGAGCATACGTTCACACGGCCATACTTTGAATGTTAAGCAGCCCTCGCGGCGCTCACACCTTTCGCGAGCTTCCCCTTTTGAATAATCCTTCCCCCGGTTTCCACGTTTTAAATCTGCATTCGCCTCTTAGTTGCGTTTGCAGTTGCATCGGTAATTTAGTTGCATTTTCATTCTGATTTTATTTTACCTAATTTTACTTTATTTCTCCCCCTTCCTGCTTCTAATGCGCTCTTTTGCGACGCAAGCGTGGAGTTAACCCGGTACACCCGCCGAGCCGACTCGTGGCACGCCCTCCGCAGTTACATTAGCGTAAGTGTGCCCTTTCCTCTGCGAGGGGGCAAACAGAATTGCGCAATCGCCTAGTAAGGCGGTGTACGAAGGGGCGTGAAACGCGAAAGAACCAGTCAAACCACTCTCTATCAAACCACTCGCCAAAGAACAACTCCCCGCCAAACCGCTCCCCACCAAACCACTCGCTACCCCCCCCATGGCGGCCGTGGACATGCAAGTGCGGTCGGGCCAGCTGGCGGAGGAGCCCAAGAAGGACAAGCAGGACCCCGGAGGGGTGAGAAACAGCGAGGATGAAATGCAATCGGGCATCAAAACCTATTACGAAATGAAAATTGAGGAATACGAATCGATAATAAATAAGAAGTTACAAAACAAAAAAAGGTTAGAAGCTCAGAGAAATGAATTGAATACAAGAGTGAGGGAACTCTGTGATGAGATTCAGTACTTGCTGGAAGCCGCGTCCTATGTTGGAGAAATTGTCAAACCGATGGGGAAGAATAAAGTACTAGTTAAGATAAACCCGGAAGGGAAATACGTCGTGGACATAGCACATAGTATAAATATTGCTCAGTGCACTCCAAACACGAGAGTGGCATTATATAATGATTCTTATAAGCTACATAAGATCCTTCCGAGCAAAGTGGACCCCCTTGTCTCTCTCATGAAAGTGGAAAAGGTACCTGACTCCACCTACGAGATGGTAGGTGGGTTAGATCAACAAGTGAAAGAAGTGAAGGAAGTAATCGAATTGCCAGTCAAACATCCAGAGATTTTCGAATCACTGGGAATTTCACAGCCTAAGGGGGTTTTACTATATGGACCACCAGGGACAGGAAAGACTTTACTAGCCAGAGCAGTAGCACATCATACGGATTGCACGTTTATAAGGGTCTCCGGATCGGAACTTGTCCAAAAGTACATCGGTGAAGGATCACGAATGGTGAGAGAGTTATTTGTCATGGCAAGGGAGCATGCTCCGTCGATCATTTTTATGGATGAAATTGACTCCATTGGAAGTCAAAGGATAGAAGGAGAGCACGGAGATTCAGAAGTGCAGAGAACGATGATGGAGCTTCTAAATCAGTTGGATGGATTTGAGTCCACACAGAATATTAAGGTGATAATGTGCACAAATAGAATCGATATTCTCGATGAGGCTTTGCTAAGGCCAGGACGAATCGACAGGAAAATTGAATTCCCCAATCCGAATGTTGAAGCTCGAATGGAGATTTTAAAAATCCACAGCAGGAAGATGAACCTCATGAGAGGAATCGACATGATGAAGATTGCCACTGATATGAACAACTGCTCTGGAGCGGAAGTAAAAGCTGTCTGCACGGAGGCCGGCATGTTTGCCCTGCGCGAGAGGCGCGTCCACGTCACGCAGGAGGACTTTGAGATGGCCGTCGTAAAGGTGATGAAGCAGGACGCCGAGAAGAACTTCACCCTGCGCAAGCTGTGGAAGTAGGAGAGAAGTTGTGCGGCAGTTTTGCAGACGTAGTGTTGAAGCGATGGAGTGGTAAAGATGAAGCGTCGATTTGTTCCCACCTGTTGGCATCCCCCACTTGTGGGGCCATTTCCCCCCCCTCCCGACGGCTCGCACAACGATTTGTTGCTAGCTCCAAAGGGGATATTCAAAAAGGCAGTCACACATAAGACACATGGTAGGGACAACGAGCAGGGAGACCGCCCCCCACCTCTGTCACACATAAGACAGATGGAAGAGACAACGAAACAGGAGCACCCCCACCCGTGACACACCTCTCCCCCCATCTTCTACACTTCGCGGCAGCGCGAAACATTTTTTTAGTTGTTAATGCGTTCCCTTTTATATACGCCCAGAGCGCGCAAAAAAAAGAAGAAAAAAAATACATTTTGAATCGGCGACACGCGCGTGTGCGTAGTTTCATAATTAAAGCGTCGCCTGCGCCGCAAGGAAAAAAAAAAACAAAAATGAAAAAAAAGAAAGGCAAATGAAAGCAAATAAAAACAAATCAGAACAAATGAAAAAAAACGGAAAAAGGTTAAAATTAATCTGTGGTCTAAAAAGCTAATGCTGCATTCTGTCAGTGCGGGGAGAAGTTATTTACTATCAACACCTGCATACGTTAAGCCTCCACGTGTGTACTTCTGCCCCTTTTCGCTGCCTCCGTTGTGAGGCCCACATAGTTTGCCACTTTCTCAATTTTGTCTTCCTCACTCTTCTCTTCCCTTTCGCTGAGAAGCTTGCTGTAGTCGTGCAACACCTGCCGATAGTTTAGGTATTCCTTAAGCAGTGGATCATTCCGAAGGAGCTTTTCCCTTCCCCATTTTTTCAGTTCCTGCAGGGCACTCTCGTCCAATTTGTGTTTCTCCCGGGCGTTCAAAACGCGCAGGAAGTTCCTAAATAATCTGTGCATATGCGTGGTGGGGACCGCCTGTATAAGCACCTTGTTTGTCTGCCGTTGACCTGTGGTATGCTCCCTTTGGCTCAATGTTCCTACCCCCTCGGTTACGATACCCACGCGTAGGCGTACGTTTCCGCGTCCTTCTCCACGTGTGGTTATTTCTCTCTCCACAGTGATGACTTTCCTAACAGAGGTGACACTTCTTCTATGGAGAAAAAGGGTTACCCCGTTTAATTAACTCCGTTCGGAATATTCATGTAAAAAATGCGAATGGGGAAATGTCCTCACATGTATATCCTCCTTCTGGTCACTATATACTTCCTGCAGCGTTGCATTCTTTTTCACCAAAATGGGTGGCAGCCGTTTCGCGTTACCTTGGCTGGGATGACGTCGCGCAGCCGGGACTTACTCCCATTTGGACGGAAAAAAAAAGGCACTAAAGGGAATGAAGTCAAATAAATGAAGTCAAAAAAATGAAGTCAAAAAAATGAAGTCAAAAAAATGACGTAAAATGAAAACACCACAAAAGATCAACTTGTGCAAACATCCCCGCGGGGGAACCTGCCAAACGACCAAACCCCGTTCACCTTCCGTGCAGCAAGTTATTCACAGAGAAAATTGCGGAGGGGCCTCAAACGGGCTTAACATTTATCCTCACCTACCTACGGAGGTGATTCACAAGGGACAATATTGTTCAGCAATAAAGTGTTGCTGCTGTTCCACAGTTGGATTTCTATACCCATGTGCAGGCTTCGCGACATTCAAGATATAGCGAAGAGGGGGGAGGGGCGGCACGAGTTTCTTCTTCGCATTACGCGAATGATCTACCTTTACTGAACCATGCCCCAGTGGAATCAGCTGTCCGGCCGCCGGACGAGCAGAGCGCTCCCATGATGATCCCAGCGTCGGTAGAACTCGCACCAAAGGTGCAGCCACTTAGGGTAACCACTAGAAAGAGCCGCTTAAACAACATCCCACCCAAACGAATGCGAAAATAATCTCTTTTGTTAAATTATTCTGCATGTTGTTCGAATTGTACAGTCTATTAGAATATTAGGCAAAAAAAGGAAAAAAAATGGGGTACACATGCGGAGGGGAAATATTAGATCCCCCCGCAAGACTTCACGCGAATCTTGATGGAGAAGTTCACATGGGCGCCGCACTTTCCTACACACAAAAGAACGTTCGTACACACATGTACATATGTCTTAGCCATTTATGTACAGCATGCACCTGTACAAACTAACGCAGGCAGCTGCGCGTGCACACAAAGAGGAGCAGGGGGAGAAGTGAAAAATGATAACAAAGAGGAATGCAAAGCGAGGTAAGAGGTAATGGCGAATGGAAAATAAAATGCGAAAAAAAGGCAAGAGAAAGAAGAAGAGGAGGAAGAAGAAGGGGGTCAAGCTCAATCCGAGGAATATGCCCCCACGGTGAAGGCATGCCAACCGAGTGGATCCTCACCGATCTGACCGATGGGACTCATACGCCTTGTCCTACTCACCCACTCAGTGGACACACAACACAACGACTCTTAACAAGGAGAATAGAATTTAAAAAAAAAAAAGCTTCTGCTTGCTGTCATTCACTTGCTGCTTAACAAGAAAAATTGAAAAAAAAAAAAAAAAAGGGCACTCCCGCGAAAACGCCAGTTCGGGGGCATCACGGGGAAGTGCCAAAATGGTGACATGGCTAAAGGGGCCAATGGTAGGATGATCCGAGGATAGGATGCTCAAATGGTAGGTGCTAAAATGGTAGGTGCGAAAATGGAGATTCTCCAATGCCGACGTGCTAAACTGCATAAGAGGGCAGGCCAAGTCACGACTGTCTAAGTCGCTCTCTTTCGTGCGATATGGTAAAGGGAAGAGTAGATCCCGTGATGAGGGTGGCATTGCCACAGGTAATGCTTCTGCATCAAGTTGGGTTGTTTCTTCGCTTCGTCGCTTCATCGCTTCATCGCTTCTCTTCCGCTCTACTGCACATCTCCGCATCTAAACTTTTCTCGCCCGGCGCAGTGTATGGATCCCCTTCTTTGGATAACCCCAGCGCAGGTACCCCGACCTGGGGGGAAAACATGCTCTCCTGTTTATTCACAAATGGGAGACACTAACTTAATTCGGGCTGTCCTCCTGATTTACACAGCGATCCCCTCTTCTGCGTGACAAACGAAACTGCTCCCAAACCGCCAACACAAGTGATGGCCTAAGCGCTACAATTCCCCTCGTTCGCCCCAGTCATCGGTGCGCCTGTTCCTCCCACGTTTGTCGTCTCATTCGTGCCACCAAAACCCACCTGCTCGTTGAATGGCAGCCCCTGCATCGCTTCTTTGTTCCCATACGTCTCTGCACTTCCACTGGGTACGACGAAACTGCCTCCATCCATTGCGAAGTTATTGTTAACACTACTCAAGGAGATTTGCCCCGCGGTGTTTGGTAAGCTACAGCTCTGGTTGTTTGCGCTTCCGTAATGCATGGGCGGGTAGTTATTTCCGCTTGGGCCACTTACATTCAGATTTATGCCTCCTTCCACGGGAGCTCCACCGGGGTAAAGGGGCTGCTGCTGATGCGGAGGATGCGAATTAGGCGGATTATGCTGATGATGCGCGTGGGAGTGGTGGTTAATCGGGTGATTATTCATGCCTGAATTTTCCAATCGGACACCACCATACGGCATCGCCATCATAGGTGATGTATCCCTTCCGTTAGCGCCGCAGCCGGGAGCGGACATATCCCCTCCTGATAATATGCCTGAACTGTTGAGGCCATTCTGAACAACGTTGTTTTGTAAGGTAGCCATTGAAGTGGTATTCTTTGCATTGGTACCATGACTCATATCTGTGCTACTTCCTGAGGGCATCATCATATAGTTCATTACGTTTTCAATTCGATTTGTCTCTTCCTTCTGATTTGCCTCCCCCGGTGCGGAATTAACACCAGACGGGGCCGCTGATGAGACGAAGTGTGTTGGCTTCTCCTGTGCTAGCGCCACGCTCTGCATGATGTCACTGTTACCAATTCGGCTTCTCACATTGGTCACGTGGTAACCGCTTAACCCTGCAGCTGAGGAACCGACCGTTCCGGTAGTGGCCCCTGTCACATTGGTACTACTCTCGCTGGCGTTTAGATTCGGCAATTTGCTCTTAAGGGGGTCAGCCCCTGGTGTCACAGCCCCTCCTGTCGCTGCTCCCGCCCCCCCTGGGGGGATCGAGTCATACGCTTCATTCCTCGGATAACCAATATTGTACGCGTTGAAGTTACCATAGGGGCTGTTCATATTGCTGTAGGGGGGTGCTAAACCTCCACCCAGGAAATTGGGATACCTCTTGAACACCCCTGCTACGGATCCGATCCCTGCTCCGCCGCCTCCTGTTGGTGGTCCTGATGCTCCAGTTGCCCCGTTTGCTCCTGTTGGTGGTCCCGCTCCTCCTGGCGCTGTTGCTCCCCCCCCTGCCTTGTTCATTTTATCGTAACTCATATTTTGGAAATTTCCCAAATTGTAATTATAGTTCATCATGTCGTTATTCATATAGGGGAACTTCAAATTGTACATGTTATTATACATAGAGTTGGATGGCATGTTATTCATTGCGTTTCTGTTTAGCATGTACGGCGGGTACTTGTTCATAGGGTCCAGGTAATTCATCCCGCTGTTCATCCCGCTGTTCATCCCGCTGTTCATCCCGCTGTTCATCCCGCTGTTCATCCCGCTGTTCATCCCGCTGTTCATCCCGCTGTTCATTCCGCCGCTCATGCCGCTGCTCACCCCCCCGTCCGCGCCGCTTACCGTGTTCATCATATTAATGGGGCCAGAAATCGGCGTCGCGATAGGGGTCGCCATAGGACTCGTCATGGACGAACCCGGCATCCCGGTTCCACTCATCTCATTGGGCCCTTCGCCCTCCTGGGTGTTGCCACTCAGGGGACCCTTCGTTCCGGCATTGCCACCGGGACCCATGGCGCTGCTATTGATGATGCTTCCTGTGCTTATGGGTGTCCCATTTGCCGCGGACCCCCCCTCGCTCTTGATCTCCTTGCCAGTACCGCCGCTCACCCCGCTAACACCGCTCCCCGGTGGCGCACCGCCATTTTGACCGTACATCCCCCCAGCGGCGGCATTGTTCAACATGTACATATAATATTGCCCATACGGCTGCGGATTGTACATGTAGTGGAAGTTGTAATTCCCGGGGGGGCTGCCATCCATTTTGGTCCCCCTCATGTTAAGCATATTAGTCTGCATGCCAAAGGGGGTGTTCATATTAGGGCTAATAAAACTGTTAACGTGCATAGTAGGATTAAAATACTTTGCATCCATAGTACCGTTATTGTAGAGAGATTCATGATTTACTCCATGATTCATAGAAAAGTCGCTGTAATGGATCGTATCACCTCTAGGTTTAATTATGGAGTGGCTTCTAGTTCCGTACTTAATAGAAACAGCTGGTTTGGTGGCTCTCTTAGTGTAGGGCGTTTTTCTTACCCTGGTGGAGGTGCCCGTAGCTTTCTTCGCTTCGTTGCCCTGCGTTACTGCTGAAAGGGGATTATTCGGGTGGTAGACAAACCCGGCTATGGATCCAACAGCGCATGAAGGAGATGCCCCTCCTACGAGTGCTCCCTCTTCTGTGAGAATCTTTTTCTTTCGTCCTCTCTTCTTTTTCTCCGATTTTTTCTTGCGGCCTCTCTTCTGAGGGACTTTCACGATACTTCCCGTGCCCATCGCACCTGCGTTCGGACCGTGGAGATTCTTCAGCGCGCCTATTGCTCCGCCAACCGCCCCGGCAGCTACCCCCCCAGCTGCTAATAGTACTCCCCCTACGGCCGTCCCACCGACACTTTTGTTGAGAGAAGCCTCCCCAATTCCACCCTTGCCAATAGAGGAAGCCATACCAACAAGACCACTTCCACTCTGCAGGTATGCCTGATTGTCCATTCCGTCCAACTCTCCCACGAAGCCGCTACCCTTCTGAGCATTCCTCGCCGCCAACCTAAACGAACGATCATTCTTCTGGTAGTTAATTTTCTGTATAGCATACGGATTGTTGGCATTAACACCAGAGGCATAGCTACTACCTCCCCCTCCGTACATGCTACCACCACCTTCATTCTTTTTCTTTCTCATCTTATCATTGTCCAAGTTGAAGTCTTCTACCTGCTTATGCTGCCTCTTCTTTGATAGTATCAACGAACCACCGTCCAGATTAAGGTCAGAACAGAGCTTCTTCTGCTGCTTCAGAATTCGACTTCTGTTTCTTCTTTCCCTGCATATTTTATTATACCTCTCGATGATGGTCTCCCCCATTACCTTCGTTTGGGTATCTTTCAACAGATTATATCCTATGTTGTACAAGACATTATCATCATCACAAAGGAACTCGAAAGTCCCTTTCTCCTCCTTCTCCACGTACAACTTAAATTCGATGTCAATGGTGTCATTTACGATGAGCCAATATTTGTCATTGTTTACCTTCCCGAGGTATCCATTGTTGTAGTTTATTTTTTCCTCCGTCAACATTTTCTTTAAGTTATTACTTTCGCATAGGACTAAATTGAGAAGCATTCTAATGATCCTCAATTTTGAGATCACGGTGAGGTCGTCCCACTCGAGAAACAGCTTTTTGCTCAATCGTTTGTTATCTTGCAGGTCTTCGTTCTTCACTCCGTCCATGAGCTGACCATTTTCGTTGTTCGCCGTCCCCCCGAGAGTATTACTACTGTTAGTAGAATTCTCCGCCGCAGAGGTGGCCTTTCTAGTGATCGCTCCGTGTCGCGTCGTTCTTACGATAAATGCCTTTTGCATCGCCTCAACCGCTTCCGTGGTGTCGCTCTTCTCCGCCTGGAGAGCTTCCCCTTCGCTCGATCTGGTCCTTCTACGTTCTCTGTCTGCTCCTGAGCCTTTCCTCTTAGCACCGTCGTCTGCGTCGCCCAACGAGGATTCGTCCTCTCCTTGGGGCTCCCCCGTTTGGGGGCTCCTGTCCCTGTGAGACTTCTCCGCTTTGCCGTGACTGCTCGATTTCTTACGCGCGTCACCGGCGTCATCCGCGTCACTTGCGTCTTTCGCTTCATCCGAAGGGGGGTAACGGCCCTGTGCCTCGGATGAGTCCTCGGCGTCGTCCCCGTCGATCGCTTCGTCCAAGTGGTTCTCCTTCTCATTCTCACTGTCATTTTCGTCGTCCTCCCCATCGGGCTCCTCCTCGTCGAACTCGTTCCCGTCCTCATTCAAGTCCTCATTCACGTCGTCATTCGCATCTTCATTCATCTCCTCGTTCACCTCGTCTAAGAGCTCCTCCGCCTTGATATCCTCCTGCGCCTTGGCTTGCTTCTTCTTGTCATTCTTCTTCTTCTTGGAACTGCTGCCCCCACCCGACGTGCCGCCACCAGCTCCCGATTTGTTCTTCCTGTCTCTTCTCCCCTCCATCACAGGGAAAAGCTCATTGAAGTTTACGACTCTCATCAGGGACTCCTGCTTATCCTCAAAAATGCGAGAAATATATTTGTACATAAATATCGACTTAGAGTTAAAATACCTTCCTAGAAAAAAAAATAATTTGAGGATGAACGTCCTGCCAAATTCGGTGGTCTCTTTATTCTGAAACATCTCATCGATGTCTTTGAAATTCCATGTCATCTTGAGGATATCTTTGTACACTGTTAGGAAAAGCAACACCATGACGTAATTGGGATTGTTAACAAAGAGGATGGACTCATCGTCTACATAGGTGGGTAGTCTCATTTGCTTAATATAACTCTCCTTGAGATGCATTCTCCTTTCCCTCTCTTCCAGGGCACTTTTCCTGGCGTCCAGGGAATAATCGTCAAGGTAGGAGTTCTCTTCCGCATGGTTCACCGACGCCTTTTCGCTTTTCACGTTGTTCTTTTTCTTATTATTGTTTTTGCTGCTGCCCTTGTTCTTGTCCTTGTTGCTGTCCTTGTTCTCGTTTTCCTTCTTCACAGCCTCCTCTCTCTTGCTGCTGCTTCCTTTGC